AATCACCCCATATACATGTGACAGCTGGACAAATGAGTAAAGAAGACTAGAATTGGTGAATTTGAGTTATAGTGTTGGAGAAAAATATTGAAAGTGTTTGGAGGTCACAACCCATGGCTATGCTGTTAAGTGCCGTCAAGTCAATTCCAACCCACAGTGACCCTGTATAGGTTCAAGCAGCTGGTGAGCTCGAACCACCGACCTTGCAATTCAAATGACACATTAGCCGTGTGACACATTTGCAGTCTGACACATTAGCCCACAGCACCACACCAGGATGACTAAGATTACAGAACACTTCCCCATACCTACTGCCACACTCCCAGAGCTGCAGTATAATGGCAGTGGGTTACAGCCAAAAGGATCACAAACCACCGGCTCTAACTGAGAAGGAGTTCTTTGGGAGGGCTAATGGGGTCCTGGTGTGGCACTGTGGGCTAATGCGCTGGATCGCAAAGTTGGTGTGAACCATAAGGTCAGCGGTCCAAGCTCACCAGCTGTTCCTTGGAAACTGGGTTGCTATGGGTCAGAACCAACTCAGTAGAACTTAACAACAACAACTACAATGCCAATAGGGGATAGAAAAGCAAAGACACTAGAGGAGTTTGAAGCCAATAACACCTACAGTTATGTTGTTGTTGTTAAGCATCATCAAGTCAATTCTAACTCATAGGGAACCTGTATGGGTTTCTGAGGAGCAGCTGGTGAATTATGAACCACCAACCTTGCAGTTCAAACTGACCTTGCAGTCAAGTGCTTATCCTATGGCATCTCATAGCAAATATTAACCTGAGCCCCAAACTTGTAGTAAGAGCAACATGAAACCTCACACTAAGTATCAATCTACCTCAGTTCCTATTACTCAATACATCATGTCTGAGTTTCAACAAATCAATTATAAAGCATGCCAACTAGTCAAGGAAAAAAGCATGTCTGAAGAGGCAATGCAAACATCACAACCAGACTTAGATATGAAACAGATGTCAGAATTATCAGGCAGAGAATTTGAACTAATTATTATTGACATGTAAAGTACTCTAATGGAAAAAGTAAACAACATGCAAGAACAGATGGATAATGAAAGTAGAGAGATGGAAATTCTAAGACTGAGAAAGAAATGCTAGCAATCAAAACCACTGTAACAGAAATGAAGAGTTCCTTTGATGGCCTATTCACTTGACTGGAAATGGCCAAAGAAAGAATCAGTGAGCTTGAAGACAGGCCAATGGAAACTTCCCAAAGTGAAGGTCATAACTTTCACCCAGACTTAATTCAGTGAAGCATTGCTTTAGACCCTCTGACAACCAGTGGCTCCTTTTGGAAGACCAGTCATCTTGTTAGTGTTTAGGTCATAATTTTGGGTAATCATTGCTTCTGATTGATCCCTGCCTCAATCAATAATAGAGGACTGGACAGCATTTTTTTTAAGTTCTTGGGTGGTGCCAATGGTTAACATACTTGGCTGCTAACCAAAAGATTGGTGATTTGAGTCTATCCCAGAGATGCCTCAAGTAGCTCTGGTAGCATAGTGGTTACAAGTTGGGCCACTAATCTCACAGTCAGCAGTTCGAAACTACCAGCCATTCCATGGGAGAAAGATAAGGCTTTCTGCTCCTGTAAAGATTTACAGCCTCAGAAACCCTATGCAGGGTTGCTATGAGTCAGAACCAACTCCACAGCACATAACCACCACCACCAGACATGTCTGAAAAGAAAGTTCTGGTAATCTACTTCTGAAAAATCAGCCAATGAATACCTGAAGTATACTTCTACTCTGGCATACACGGAGGCACCTAAGTTGACTCATCAGCAAGTGGTCTGGACAGCATTTGAGGGAAAGGGGCCAGCAACAAGGCCAGCACTGAGCTCTGCCTGGCATCATGCTGTAGTCCAGAGACAGATTCCAGCTGAAAAGTGGCAGATGAGGGTGAGGTAGGAGCTTCCTCCTGAGGAACTGATAAAGGACCAGTCCTTGGCAGGGACTAGTCCCCTAGTTGGGAACAAGGTAGGGGTTCACTCTCAATAACAGAGCCCATGTTGTCAGAAATGACGCACAAGGACTGGGTCAGTCAAGCAACAGTGGTGACCTCCAGTGGAACCCTGCCCATGGTGATATAGGCTGGAGTTCCTCAGAAGCCTCTTTCATGCCTGAAGCAAGGGCTTACCTGATTCCAAAGGCCAGGATGGACCCGAGTCAGTGTTATTGTTTTAAGTACCATTGGGTGGGAACTCTATAGGGTTTCCATGGAGCAGCTGGTGAGTTTGAACCTCGTGGTTCAATATTGTCCAGTGTTTATCCTACAGTGCCACACCAGGACTTCCAAATTGGTTGTTGTTGTTAATAAAGTTCCATCAAGTCAGTTCTGACCCATAGCAACCCTGGATAGAGTTTCTGAGGAGCAACTGGTGAGCTTGAACCGCCGACATTGAGGTTCAAACTGACTTTGCAGTCCAGCACATTAACCCACAGAGCCATAATTGGTAGAGGGGCCTAAATGCTGCTGACTGTCAGGAGCAAGAACTAGACATCAGGAATCATGTAAGGTCCGACACCTGCTTATGCCTTCTATGGTTGAGCCCCAGGCATCAACGCATCCCCTGTCCTAGCTGTGCTTGGTGTTCTTGCTCCATGTAGAGACCTACCAAGCTTTGTCCAAACCAATGGATGTGACAGAACTCCACCTTTGATTTCCAGGAATTTTCTTGTTCTTTCACATACTCTTCACCCCCACCTTCCTCCCTAGACCAGAAGTGCCCTTAACAGTTTGTTGAAAGAGTTCTTTTTTTTTTTTTTTTGCAATAAATGTAAAGTCATATGTTTAACTTAAAAAAAAGATTTTTTTTTTTTTAGTAAAAATAATTGTTCTATTAATCTGACAATTTTATTAACCAAAAAAAAAACCTACTTCAACTTTGCTGCTTTTCATTAATTCTCAGTTTCATGGAGTTGGAATAGGATTTATCTTATGGTATGTGACATTAAAATGAATGCTTATGTTTAAAGACATTATTATAACCCTAGCCAACCATTTCTAGCTGCTGCCATATTAAGGCTCCTACATTTTTAATCACTTGTTGAGACATTTATAAAAACAACCAACTGCCTCTGAAAACCAATAAACCTGGGCTGATCATCAACAACCCATTACCCTTCCTCACCAGCTTGTAAAGCAAAACTGATGGGAGCTGAAACTTAGTCTTTGCTTCTGTATTTTTGTTTTGCTTTGATTTTTGGAAACCAAACAGAAATATAGGACATTTTGCTACCATGACAGAATCTCAAGAATATGCTGGTAAGGTGGCAAATGACAACATGCACTCACTCGCTACATAACTGTCCTGGAGGGAACAGGTAGAGAGGTTTCCCCACAGTGCACTAGACAATTATGTCTCAGACTTCACATTCACTGAAGTCTGTGACACAAATGGTTAAGCATTGGACTATTAACCACAAGGGTGGCAGTTTGAACCCACCCAGGGGTGCCTTGGATAAAATGTATGGCAATGTGCTTCTGAAAGGTAGCAGCTATGGCTGCCCTGGGTAACACAATTTTCCTCTGAAACTCATGGGGTCACCATGAGTCAGAATGGACTCAACAGCAACTGGTTTGGTTTGTTTAGTGTGAATAGCTTTCAGAGTTCAGTATATGTTAGCATTTTCTTTTACTTTCTAACAGTTTCCTTCACTAGAAAATGAGAGTATTTTAGTTATTGTTATTTTAAAGCAAACTTTCATATTCATGAGGGAGTTTCAAAAGGTTCGTGGAAAATGAAATTAAAAGACAATGATATTTCCCCCACAAATCTTTTGAAGCGCCCTCATGTTTAGAAATTCCCAATATTATGGTGATGTTGTTGTTGTTATTATGTGCCGTGGAGTCGGTTCCAACTCATAGTGACCCTGTACAGGGTTTCCAAGGCTGTAAATCTTTACGGGAGCAGAAAGCCTCATCTTTCTCCCCCGGAACAGCTGGTAGTTTCGAACTGCTGACCTTGCAGTTCACAGCCCAATTCGTAACCACTACGCTACCAGAGCTCCTTGTAATAGATACCGTATACTATATAAAGACAAAGAACAAATGTTCCACGAGTTTAAAGGTAGACCATGGCCACCCATTGAAAGCAGATGTAAGCAATCTACAGCAACAGTTGAACATAAATGTGTCTAAAACAAATTTCTAACAAATTTCTACCTTTTAACAGATAGACTTATACTTTATTTTGGCAATTTTAATATAGAAAAATATCATAATGTGCATGCTGCTCTTCTTGTAACATGAGGATTTGGGATGAGCAGAGCAAGTGATGAAAGGGGTTTCTTTCAGGATGATCTCTCTTGGGATTGGGCTGCAGTTAATACAGACTGAGTTGTTTTTAGCTTCTGATTGCTTGAGAGAAAAGTTGACACAGTAAAAGTGGTTTTCAAAAGTATGGCATTCAATAATAAATATTATAAAGCAATGAACTAAAACAATTGTTAAATATTTTATAAATACTATAAGTAAACTTTAAACTTCATGATTAAAGCTAAGAACTCATAGTTTCAAAATAGCTTTAACATTCTCTACCAATATACAATAGAATAATAGAGCACTTATTTAAAAAACAAGGGTGGAAAAATTAGAGTAAACATGATATATCAGATAACTATCAACAGTACACATCAATTCATTTCCACACTATATTCTTTTCCCAGATGTCATCAAAACCAAGTTCTAACTATCACCTAAATTATGTCCCTGATTGTAACCTTAGAGCTTAATAAAGTGCCGTCACCATTTCTACACATCATCTTTGGATGGGATGGCTGGGGGACTCTTGGTACATGCAAATATTTGGTTAAGGTTGTAAAGACAGGAAAAAAAATGTGCCAGGAGTCAGAAGCTGAAACCACTGCCCTGTTTGTTAAGCACCTTCACGAGCTTAGTCTTTGTGATGCCACAGGTAAAAACACGCTAAATAATTCACACAGGTGCTCACTTTGTTGCTATTAGTCCCTTCAGCTTCTTTCTTTGCTCCCCCTCCCCAGTCCTCAAAGAAAAGAACTGGGTGGGCCCTCCTTAAAATAGATCTGATCTGTAACATAAATTGAGTGTATGTACATATGTACATACATGCTCTTCCTTTTCAAGGGCTGGGTAACTCCTCATTTTCTATCAGATAATCCTTCTTCATATACCTAGTGCCCCTGACTAATCGCCACACTTCCAGGTAAGTATCTTTCAACGACCTCTTGTTCATTTCTTCTTGGTCACCTGTGATCTGTGAGCTCTTGGCCACCAGCGGGATTTCTCTGGGACTGCCCCTCCACTCTTGCCCACTCTGCTGAGTGGAACCACCTGCTGCCTCTCCACCTTCTGACTCGCCATTTCCACCCTCCCCAGACAGCTCCTCCATGACGAATGGCAGCTGGTCTCCACTTGGCTGTGTCTCCTCTCCTCCAAGCTGCGTCTCTAGGTCCTCATAGTTGCTTTGCTTTCTGGTCTCCATGAATTTGGCCACACAGTAGATGATAGAGCCCAAGGTGTTCACCACAACGCCGGCAATAAACAGAGAAGTGGGCTCCACGTCGCTGAAGGCCACCATGCCCACTGTGATGGTAGCGATGCTCTTTACCACGCCCACGAAGCTGGTGGTCACGGCCGAGTTGATGTAGGTGCAGTGCAGCGTGGTGAAGTTCATGGCGCAGCCGATCAAGATGCAGGCCACGAAGATGCAGACCATGGCGGGGTCTTTCCACCCCGGGAAGGCCCAGGCGTGGATGGAGTCAGTACTGGCGAAGGAAAAAACGATCAGCAGAGGGGTGGCTGAGACGGCGATGACGTACTGCGCGGTGAGAGGCCCGTGCTCCGTGTCTGCGCTCGCCTTCTGGATGAGCACCAGGTAGGCTGCGTGCACCAGCACCGCCAGCACACCTGTTACGTACCCGATGGGGTCGCCGGTCAGGTCGCCGGCTCCTGGAGCGTACCAAGAAAGAGAAGATACCTAGTTGGCGCGGGTGGGTTTCCACTGGAGCAACGCGTCCTGCTGAGAAGTAAACGGGGTTCGCGCCCCAGCTCTACCACTGAGATCTTGAGTGACTAACGTGCTCTCGCCGTGCCCGGACTACATTTTATACTCTGGTATAAAATGCCAGAGCCAACTTCGGTCAATTGTCAGTGCGATGCATAAAGAGAGGCGACTTTCCTGCCATACCCCCGCGTCACCCTGTCTTACCTCTGTCCACCATAAAGGCCCAGGAGAGCTTAGATGCCCTGCGATTTACAAGAGCCACACCGAGACTCCTAGGCACGTGCTACCCCTGTACCTCGTCCTTCCCCAGGAGAGAGGAGGAACTCAAGCTAGCGGCCTTCAACCCCTAGAGGGCCAGGTGCGGGTGCAGAACGCCTAACCCAAGCCCCGTTTAAGGTTTCCCGCTCCCGCACGCTCCTGCCCGGCTCATTCCGCCTAGCCCGTCTAGCACGTCCGCCCCACTCTCCAGGTGCCCCAGCTCCGAGAACCCTCAAGTCAGCTCCTACACCTCGCTCCCATCCCCCTACAAGCCCTCCCCACCTCCCAACTCCAGCCTGGCTTGACCGAGGGAAGTTCTCATCCCCTCCTTCCGGTCCGATCTAGGGGTGGAGGACTCCATCTCCCAAGCTCAGGCGGCTCCCTACCCTTCCCGGAGGAAGGAAGGGGTAAAATGGGGAGACTCAGAGGGTCGGGATGGGAGATACTCGGTGAAGCAAGGACGGGGGTCGGAAACCAAGATAATCTGGACTGGAAGTGGGAGGGGGCGAAAGGTCTGAAGGAGGCTCTGAGAGCTCTGGGAGAGGCATTGCTGGGTCTCAGAAGTCCAGTTTCTGAGCCAAGCGACCACGTTCAAAGCGCTACGCCAGTCTGCCTCAGTCTCCCTATGTGGAAGTGAGGGCGTTGCACTTATCCTTGGGTCTCTGCCAGTGGTGTGGGTTGGGCAGGGCTGGGGTTCCGCATGGGTCCCGCTCACCTGCCAGGGCGGCGCCGCAGGTGGTGATGAGCACTGCCGCGAGAACCCCCGGCGAGGGCGCGCCGTTCTTGAGCACCAGGACACCGATGAGCATGGTGACCAGGGGCAGGCAGCGCTTGAAGACCACGTACATGGGTAGGCTAAGGCCGCGCAGCGACCAGAGCGTGAGGCTGGACTGCAGCGTGGAGAGCACAGCGACCCCGGCGAAGGAGCGCGCCAGGCTCAGGCCGAAGGGGGGCACGGCGATCAGCCCGAGGCGTCGCAGCAGCTCCAGGCTCAGCGCCGCCGTGGAGCTGGTCAGGCACTGCACCAGGGTCAGGAAGGAGAACTGGTAGCGGCTGATGAGGAACTTGAGTAGGATGTTAAGGGAGCCGGAGAATACCCCGTGCGCGATGGCCACCGAGATACCCAGCACGCGGCCCCGGCACAGCTGCCGCATCGCGCCGGCCCCGTCGCCCCGCTCGGGTGGCGGAGCTCCGGGACCTGTGGGAGGCCCGGGAGGAGAGCGGGGAGAAAGTCTGGAGGAAACCAGCGAAGACCAGTGAGAAGGCGGCGGGGATGCCCGCTCAGGCGCGGCGAGGGCAGGGGGCGCCGGCTCGGCTGCCGGGCGTCCTCGCGGTACGGTGGCTCCGCGTCCAACTACCCCGTAGCTCCGAGGAGGCAGTGGCAGAGGTGCCGTGGGCGGGGAACTCCGAAAAGTGGCAGAGGTGGGGGGCTGGTCTGAGAGGAGTGGCGGGAATCCTAGTGACAGCGATTTGTAAGTAGGTGACGAACCGCGCTGGGTTGCGTCCCGCGCAGTTTCACAGGCAGGGAGGACGCTCTGCAGTGGGAAGCGCCGCGGCAGGGTGCTCCCGGCAGCTGCCGCAGGGCGGGACCCGACCGGTCCCCTCGGGTCCCCAGCGGAGACCCGCGTCTGCTCCCGCCGAGCGTCCGGTTCCTCCAGCGGCGCCGGCTGTTCCCGCTCACCCTTTCCTCTCGGCTCTGAGCCCAGGGGAGCAGGTTGCGGGAGCCGGGGGCACAGCTAGAGACGATTTTAGAAAGAACCGCGCTTCTAGGCCGAACACCATTTATTGACCGCAACAAGTGACCGCCCCTAGGATTCCCCTTCCCCGTGCCGCAGCGGTTTTTCCATCCTCGGTCCCTCCTGGCGCAGCCGTGGGAACTTGTCCAGCTGCCGGCGGAGATAATCGAAGGCCGTCGGTGCGATGGGGCTCCCGGTTGCTCAGGTTCGGCCGCTGACTTCGGAACCAAGAAGGACCTCGATGCGCTTTAGGACCGAAGGCTGGCAGATCCGCTTCCTGTCCGCGCGCCTGCACTAAGGGTCCTGGGAGTACGAGCGTGGTTCCGGGGAATTTGGGGGCGGGGGGTTTCTATCGGGGCAGCGGAGCCTGGGGGCGAGGGGGCACTTATTAGACGTGAGGTACAGATGTAAAACTAAGAACAAGAACAAAATCAATGGTGCAGTCGGAGGGGCGCCGGGGCACTGTCCGCAGAGAGGAGGACGGCGAGGGACTAGAGCCCAGAGCCCCTCACCCAAGACCTGAGATAGTGCAGCGTCCGCTGGATCCCAGGAACCAACCAGAGCCGTGGGTCGTTTCAGGGAGCAGGACAACCAGGGAGAGATTGCACACCCCTTCCACCTTACTCCCAGGCTAGGCATGCTTTTGCCCTACAAGACGTGTGAACTCTTCACTTCCCATCTAGCTAAGAAAATTGTTCATCTTCTACGGGCACAAAGCCTCAGGAACCCTTTATTTGGATTTAATTCCCTAGAAAGGATCTCCCGGCCCTGTAATGAACTCGTATACTCTGCAGCAGCCAAAGTGTTCTCCTAGCTTAAATACGATGGCCAGAGCTCGCAGTCAGGAGTCCTGGTGTGGCGCTGTAGGATAAGCACCCGACCATAAGGTCGGTTTGAGCTCTGAGGTTGGCAGTTCAAACTCACCAGCTGCTCTTCAGAAACCCTATACTAAGTCGCTATGGGTCGGAACAGACTCAAGACTCTTACAAACAACAGGGCCCGGAGTTTGCGTGAAAGAGGTAAAGAGTTTGAGGCCGCGGCGCGTCACCTTTCTTTTTGTTCACCGCAGGGAGGGAGCCCAGCCTCCTAATCTTGCAAGGCTGAGCCGCCACACTTACTTCCACCTTTCTGCTAAACGCATGTTGAAGCTCTGGTCATTATTACCGTCAACAGGAAAATAAAAATCTACAGTAGGGATCGGCAACATCATTGCAACCCTCCTTCTAGGCCAAAGGTACAGGTGATGGGCGATCTTTCTGAGCGCCCAGTCGCACACCTCCCGTCTCCTCACAGGACACTCAAGAAACTGTTTACAATGGCCCACGGTATCATCGACTTTCCAGGAAACACTGGAAGGCATACACTGAAAACACGTGCTTCCTGTTCCCCAGGGGACTCTTGGTTTCCCATGGTAGCAGTTATCAGCTTTGGACTGTGAACCACAAGGTCGGCAGTTCAAACCCACCCGCTGCTTCTAGGGAAACCTATACCGGGAAGCTATGAATGGGAACCAACTCTATGGCACTTGAAAACAATTGGCCTTTTGAGAGACTCGTGTTTTTCAAATATAACTGTTATTTTCTTTCCGAAATAACAGTAAGGCTTGAAGCAGCAGTTCAAAGTATGTGTATGTGTGTGACACAACTGTATTGAAAATATACTCAAAAATGTTTTTGAAAATTAACTTTTTAAATCCATCAGCAAATAACAGAGTTCTGCGTCTGGGGACCATTTAATTAAAAATTGGTTGCTTTAAACCATCTTAAGTGAGTATGATAAAGAATTTTCTGTACAAATCTAGTTTTGGAATGATTCATTTCTGCCAGAAATTATAATTGCTTTCATTTGTGATACTAACATTAGGTAAAAGATTTGGGGCTGATTCAGCTATCTTATCCTCTCATTTAGGCAAGAAAATTTAGCTTGGTATTTGAAACCTGCTGTGACATAAAACAATACATTTTCTCCAGTTTATTGCAAACACTTCTTTCCCATTAGGACTTTAATTTTCTTTCTTCTTTTTTTTTACATTCTAACCACATCTCCCACTCAGTTACTAGACAAGCTCCCAAAGAAAAGGGGGAAAATAAGAGTTCAACATTTAGCACAGTTAATGAACAAACATGCAGATCTCAAGGTCAAATAACTGTTAACCTACAAAGTGCCAAGGAATTAAGGGTCAGATCTTTGGAGCTACTGAATAAATATTAATGTTTTTGTTGTTGTGTGCCATAGAGTTGGTTCTGACTCATAATGACCCTATATAGGGTTTCTGAGAGTGGCTGGTGGGACTGAATTGCCAACTTTGTGGTTACCAGTCCAGTGCTTATCCTGCCTTGGCTCATATTGATAGCATTCATTAAATTCCATAGTTCAAGCATTCATTCAACAAACATATACTGCAAGTAGGCAGTCTGTAAGCCACAGAGCATGATAAGCACTCATCTTTTGTCTTCAGGGATGCACAGCTGGGGTAACACAACACAATGAAGTTAATGCAACAGTAGGAAAGAGGGGAGCACTCAGGAGGGCAATTAAATCAGCTTGAGAGGAGTATCAGAGAAGCCTTACCAGAGAAGAAGTATGGGCCTTTCAAAATATTTCTTTATTAATTGTTATATATTAGTTCTCTAGTGCTGCTACAATAGAAATACCACAAGTAGCTGGCTTTAACAACCAGAAATTTATTTTCTCACAGTTAAGAGGTTTGAAGTTCACATTTATTTGAATGTTTTTTCTCTCTCTCTCTCTCTCTCTCTCTCTCTCTCTCTCTCTCTCTCTCTCTCTCCCCCCTCCCCCCACCTCAGGTCCTTATCTCTCCTCAGCAGTCTTCATGTGAAGCCTCTCCTTCCCATCTCGGCTTCTTTCACTTGCTTGTTGAGTCTCCTTTCTCTCTCAAAAGAGATTAACTCAAGACACACCCTAAATTAATTCTTCTTAACTAACATAGCCAAGACAATCCATGCCCAAATGACATAAAAACCATAGGCATGTTGTTGTGTGCCATCCAGAGGGTTTTGACTCAGCGACCCTGTATAGGGTTTCCAAGGAGCGGCTGGTGAGTTTGCACCATCAATTTTGCTGTTCACACTGACCTCGAAATTGAGTGCTTATCCTATGGTACCACACCAGGACTCTAACCATAGGCACAGAAGAAAGGATTTATAAAACCATAGGCACACGTTTTTAACTTTTTATTGTGAATTGGGCTAAGGTTTACAGTTTTCCTTCTCATCAATTGTGATGCCCACAATGCAGCATTGCTCATTCCACTTCCTCCCTCTCTCCTAACCTTTCTAAACTTTGTCCTCAAGATAAAAATGCTATCCCTTTTCTGCTCCCGTAAAGATTTACAACCTTCGAAACCCTGTACAGGGTCGCTGTGAGTCGGAACTGACTCGATGGCACATAATCACCACCACCAATGGTTAAAAGCATTTACCTTTATTCACTTCCCTCCCTGCATCTCCCACTACCTTTACCTTTCCTTTGCTAAATTCCCTCAATATATATGGCTCGTTCTGTCACCTACCTTAACACGTGTCTACCCTCTAGCCCTGTACAGAGTCGCTATGAGTCAGAATTGACTCCTTGGCAGTTAACAACTACAACCCTCTAACCCATGAAAATTTTTTTCTTCCACCCACCCCCATGCCTCCATAGCATCATTTTGTTGTTAAGTGCCACTGAGTACGTTCCAAATCATAGCCACCATAGACTGTTTCTTTTATCAAGAAACCTTTTTAACTTTTTACAACACTGGTCTTATACATACTTGCCCTTTTGCGACTGACTAATTTCACTTGTATGGCACTGTGGGTTAATGCGCTGGACTGCAAAGTTGGTCTGAAATGCAAGATTGGCAGTTCAAGCTTACCAGCTGCTCCTTGGGAACCCTACATAAGGTTGACAGCACTTAACAATTTTACTCAGCACAATATCCTCCAGGTTCAATCATGTGGTGAAGTGGTTCACATTTTTATCAATATTCTCCAACATTTTGTAGTATTCCATTGTACGTATGTACCAAAGTTTAACCATTCTTCTGTTGATGGATACTTAGGCTGTTTCCATCTTTTTGATAAGTCTCTTGTAGACAGCATATTAAAGGATCCTATTTTCTTATCTAAAAAAAAAAGAATGCTGTCCTTTTTATCTCGAATGGTTGATTATTCTAAGGTGTGCATACCTCACTAGGGTTATTGTTCCCCTTACAGACCTATTATTGTTTGGCTGAGTTGTGGGGGTGAGTTCACTTTCAGACCTGAAGGGGCTTCCACCAGCCTCTGTCAGGTCAGTAAGTCTGGTTTTTCATTATTGATTTTGAGTGTTGTCCCACATTTTCTCCCAGCCTATCCAGGAACTTCTAACAGGATCCTTTTCAGAGCAGTTCAAAGTGGTAGTCAGGCCCCATTTAGTTCTTCTGGTCTCAGGGTCACAGAAACTGATG